TTGTCAAGGATAAGACGACCGCCTTCCTGAAGGCTTGGAAGGAGGAAGAGGAGGCGAAGGTCGCGGAGCTTCAGAGGAAGCTAGAGGTTAGGGAGAGGCATGCCGAAATGGTTAGCTAGCTCAAGGAGGAGAAGGAGGCGAGGAAGGTCGCAAGGCATCAGAGGAAGCCGGAGGGTTAAGGAGAGGCATGCCAAAATGCTCAGCCAATACAAGGAGGAGAAGGAAAGGAGGCTGCAGGAGAAGGCAATGGTGAAGGAGGCTGCAGGAGATGGACGAAGAGATGGTCCGGGTGCATAGAGAGAGGAAGGAAAAAACAGCGGGAGATGCAAATGCCAAAAATGGAGTAGGAGGCGACGAAGGGGGGGGGTGCAATCGCAGTTTTGCACTCGCAATGTAACTGTATTTCCATATCTGGAGTGTAGGCCACCAATCGGTAGGATTTATATATGAGGCTTCCCAACCTTTGTAAATCATTTATCTATCTCCAAAAAATGTTATCCATAGCAGCCAAAGATAGTGGTTCATGGGCCAATACCGGTACGTTGTTCCAACAGGGGTCGTTTAGTAAGGAGACAGGCCAAAACAGACCAAAATTGTAGGTTTTCGAGCGATTCTATTTCCACAGAATTCTTGAAACTCGGCCTTGAAAAAAATTTAAAAAGAATTTAGCATGTCTGAAGTATAATACATATCTATTTCAGGCCTTTGTCTGGAGTTTGTACAGAATTGTGGGCACATGAACTGGGTAAGGTGTGATGCAGTGTATCTTTCCCATACAGGAACTCTGGTCTTGGCAGGTACAGTACCATGCGGGAAAGGACGTTCCACCACTTGCCCAGGAGAATAGAAGGGAAAAAAATCCACAATTTTTTCTAAGGGTGCCATTATAGCAAATTAATTTTTTAATTTTTTCTATGTTGTTTCCGCCCATGGTGGTTGCTAGTGATAGCTCAACAACCTGTAATTTTGGTGTTTTAGCTTCTGTCTCGGTACTCCTGCTCTATGTTTCGCTCCAATCAGTAGATAGTTTGGGCATCCTGAACCTCACTAAGAGCTCCTCGATTTCCCAACTCATCGTTCAAGTTCACTGTGTCAACTATCTAAACAACATTTAATGATGCCGAGTGATATTCCATGAACGGTCACCATTCCCGCCAGCCAGCCTGGCTGACTGACATGCGTCACACGAATCCGCCCCCCGGAGCCTACAGTACATTAGGCCAGAGCTAATATGCCCATAGAGGATACACTCTAATGGTAGCTCATTCACCAGGATCCCGAGAGTACAAAGTACAAACCTTACGAGTACAGTAGCGTCTCCATACCGGTTACCCGGGCTCTGAACGGCCACCGAAACCTCGAGGAACATCCCGGCACAACGGAAGACGAAGTCCCGATTTGTGATCCGAACCCTCACCTACCGCAAAATAAGTTTCCGGCATCGCTCCAAAGTGACGCCGACCCTTTGGTACCCCTCCTTTGTCAATCCTCCTTCATCAGACAATGATAACCTTGAATTAACCCAAGGCGGAACAAAGACAAAGGTGGAATAGAGACTGCTGGACCAGTATATTAAACAAGTGTCTCGCTTACCTAATTTGAGCGCTAACCGAGAGTAGATAACTGACCACTGGATGAGTATCCTAAATTCATGTGGCGCTTACCTAATCTTGAGGCTAACCCATAGTGGACGAAAGACTGCTGGGTGAGCATATTAACCACTATTCACCCGACAAACGCCAAGAATGCCAGGACGTCAAGTCGTCAACCGACCCCTGGTTTCTTGTGGTCAACCATCTATCCTGCCTCCCTCCCCACCTCCTCTCCCCACCCACAACCCATCCGCCCATCCCCATTCTCACTCCTCCGAACACGTTAGACACATCCTAAGTTACACGTTAAACACAACTACCACGACCGATGCTATCCCTTAACGGCCCGTACATATAATACATCCGCTCGCTCAAGTACCAGCTATACCGTCCGCAGGGGTGACAGACCAACACATGGCACAGTGGATTGTGACGTGGTGGGTGGCTATAGCTATCGGCTTCCTAATCGGGGCTTTGTGCGGCTATCCCATAGCAGTGGCTTTGTGCAGACGTGCTATTTCACGAGTCACTAATGCCCACCCCAACATCCATGCCCA